TTCAGGCCTTCTGCTGGGCTGGCTCCTTCCCTTCTGCACAGGTATTCTTCTCTCAGGTGACTACTGGGGTAGAGAGATCCTCCTTTCAGATCCATCCTGGAGGTAGGCCCCTTTCCACTGGGCCCCCTCCCAGGCTCCTTCATCCCAGCTTCACTCCATCTTCCATCTGAATTCTCCTGCTGCTGAGCAGGCTCAGTCATACTTAAGGGCTTTCCTGACTTCATGCCAAGTCTCCTGCCTGGGGCGTGGTCAGGATACCTAAAGTATGCAGATCAGCTCCTCCTCACTCCCACCCACTGCCTTCTAGAAACTTCTCAAGTCTCTACAGAGCAGGGGGAGGTATCTGCAGAACCCTCAGCCCTGACCTAAGATGACCTGGCTGTCTCACACCCAGGGTGACCCATGCCCTGGCTGCTATTCAACCTTCCTCTAAAAAAAAACAAAACCTAGCTCCCCCTGGCTATCTAGAGGGGAGTCAAAGGAGCATACTATCTGAGCAGCATGGACTTTTCTTTGTTTTATGCCAAGTCATCCTTCTTTTTGTGAGTATTGTATACAAATACATTAATAAGGCTTTACAGTACTCATTCCTTTATTATGATCAATACTTAATGCAGATACTGTGGATCTGATATGAGGAAGAAAGGATGCTTGGCACCATAGACTTGGGGAAGTGTTTTCTGTCCTGTAACTAAGGGGTCTCAGTGTTTGGTAAGCGGCTTTTTGGTAGAGGCCAGTGGAGGAGTGTCACCTGTTGTGTTTTAACATCAAATTCTGGATGTTGGACTGTCACTGTTTAATCATTTTATTTGAGAATGATCATAATTTATGTTTATTGGTTGTAATATAAATTGCATATGTTACTTTATACTGTATATAGTTGGTTTGCGCAGTTGATTTATAATCATTTTCTCTTAACGTGTTAATAAACCCAACATTCACTCTATCTGGTTTCCCACAGTACACAGAGCATGGAAATGCAATTATTTTAGTAAATATAAACTGCTAATTAACTTTTCTTATCAGCAGTTAGAGCAGTCTTGTGACTTCTATCCAGCAGAGCACTGGTTAAAGCTTGTAGGAGGAGTTTTCATTCTGCTCTCACTGTCCTATGAGACTGCAGGACTCCTGACTCTCTGAACAGTACTGATTGGCCCTGTGCTGATCACATACACTCTTCCAAACACAAAATCTCTCTAACAATACACACCAAACTAAGCATGTGCAGCTTTCCTCCAAGGCTCTGTTCTATCAGCAGATGAGTCGAGGACAGTCGAAGAATTAGAGGATCACAGAAGACAGGATTAAACATCCTTTTTACACAATGCAAAGGATTAACCCCTTAAGTTCCTCAGTCAGTATACAGAGCATGCTTTACTGCATATACAGACTGATTTTACTGGGTTTAGTAACAATTTAATATTTTATTATTGCATTACTTTGTACATATAAAGGGCTAGCACAGTTTTTGGTTCAGTGTCTAATATATTTTATAATTTAGGCTGCTGCCCCCTATCCCTATTATTATCCATTTGATTTTTTTTATACCAAGCTCAGTGATCACACAAAAAATATCTCACAAATCCCTCCATCCACTCTATACAGCATGGATATATGAATTTTCAGCTGTGTCTACTGGATGTTGTCAGAATACCTGAGCAACAGCTCAGCTGCAACATGCCAAGCTGCGGTTTCTAAAGCAAACAAAATCCTGTCTTGTATTAAAAGAGGTATAGACTCCAGAGAGAGATATCATATTACCCCGGTACAAATCATTAGTAACACCTCATCTGGAATATGCAGTTCAGTTTTGGGCACCAATTCACAAAAATAACATTGGGGAACTGGAGAAAGTACAGAGAAGGGCAACCAAACTGATAAGAGGCATGGAGGAGATCAGCTATGAGAATAAATTCAGTTCCTCTAATCTTTCCTCTCTGGAAAAGAGGAGATTAAGGGGGGATATAATCAACATGTATAAATACATCAGTGGTTCATATAGTGAACGCGGTGTAGAGTTATTCCCCCTGAGGTCATCACAGAGGACAAGGGGGCACTCTTTACATCTGGAGGAAAAGAAATTTAATCTCCAAACATGGAAAGGTTTCTTTACAGTGAGAGCTGAGAAAATGTGGAATAGACTCCCTCAAGAGTTGGTTCTGGCCAGCTCAGTGGATTGCTTTAAAAAGTCCAGGATTCTTTCTTCGATACACAGAATATAACTGGATACTAACATTTATAGGTAAAGTTGATCCAGGGAATATCTGATTGCCTCTCGGGGGATCAGGAAGGAATTTTTTCCCCTGTAGGAGCAAATTGGATCGTGCTTTGCTGGGTTTTTTTTGCCTTCCTCTGGATCAACTGTGGGTGTAGGATTATAAATTTTTTTATGGTTGAACTGGATGGACTTTTGTCTTTTTCAGCCAGACTAACTATGTAACAGCTGCATCTGATTGGATGCTGTTGGTGTTCAGCCAAAAATGTTCTAAGTCCTTCGATTTTTTTCAGTCAAAGGATGTCAGGTGGGAGAGTGGAGACAGTATCACCCACGAAAGCAAAGTTCATATAGTACTGTATGGCCAGCTGTACTCTCATTCAGTATCATAAGGAATTCTACTAATGCAGCACCTCTGATGTCCGAGTCCCTTGACTCCAGATGTCAACATGGTAATGACACACCAAGGCTGAAGGGAAAATATTTATTTGTGCAACACAGAGTAAGGTTTGGTTGGCACTAGTGTGGTTTTGTGAGCCGTGACACTGCAGCCCATTCATGTGAATGGGCTCCTGTGCCTCACAAAATGCAGGAAAAAGGTCCTTGCGCCTTTCCAGAAATCGCAGCCTGTACTGGGAACTGGTCTACAGTGTGATTGCCAGTGTGAATGCAATTTCCAGTGTAGGCGATGTGCCATTAAGATGAATGGCACCCACCCGAAGGGTCCCATGGTTTCTGTGCGGATGGTTGCAGCTGCGGGATGAAGTACTGCAGCTGCCTCCACCAGCACTAGTGTGAACCAAGCCTTAAGTAATAACCAAAAGATGAAAAAGTAGTGTTGGGCACTTTAAGCTTTATGTATACCGAAACCGCTACAAAATATTGTTAAGGGGGGTCTTGACTAAGGGCAATGCAAAAATAGGGGTCTGTCAGTTTCTGGGAAACTATCTCTCACTGGCCAGTGCATTGGGGACCAAATTCAGTATTGGGGGCACAAATGTGAATCCCACAAACCCAGATATAGGTACCTAAATGATGCCCTAAATGTCAGTACTGTTCCTGTAAATAGTTGGCTGAGGGTATGGCCAGCAGCCTCTTCCTGGCACAAAGGATGAAGGCTTCTCTCCACGTGGGACTCAGCAACACCAGACTTTACAGTGCCATTTCTATATAACAAATGTAAGCTACTTTTTCTGTCTGCTTCCCCAACCCTTCTGCACAGTGTGTGCTCTACAATGTCCTCCCAAAGACTGCCAGAGCCCAGGAACAGTCCTTATTTTTCCTCCTCTGTAGAGCTTCGGTAATGCTGGGATCTGTAGTTCAAGAGCAAAACTGCAGCACAGGTTCAGTCTCTTTGGGGACTACATCTCTCACAAGTCCTTGCTCCTCCCAGCAGGCTTTATCTTCTCCCAGGGTGCACAGCATTACATAACAGCTTTCTCTGCTCTCCCTGTTGGTGGGCAGGTCTTTCCTTCAGCTCTTTGGCTGTGGCTGCACACAGCCCTGGATAAGAGGCATAAAGCCAGCCATACATGGGTCAAATTCCGAAAGAATTTTCTTTCGAAAATCTTTTCTAAGAATTTTCGTTCAGATTTCGCACCATTAGTGGACCACAGCAACGGACGGTTTTCGAGTCACCATGGAATTTGAGTGATCGGGCATGCTGGAAATTTTTTTGAAAAATGAACAAATTTCTAATCAATGATGGGAGAATCGTGCGAGAAATATAATCGTTAAAGAGAAAAAAAAAAGAGCTGTGACCTGGAAAGAAAAGAAAATTCTTGCCCACGAAAATTCTTTTCTGTAGCAACGTGAACTTGAAGGCTTGGTTGGTCGAATTTCGAAAATCAGTGGTGACACCATCGGATTACCCCGCATTAAGATTCCTTGATGTGATAATCATCCAATTTTTGTTGCTTCAGTGTCTGGAGCCATTTTATCCATGGCAATTAGATGTATTGTAAGTTCATTACCGTATTTTTCGCTCCATAAGACGCACTTTTTTCCCCCAAAAAAAGGGGGGAAAATGTCAGTGCGTCTTATGGAGCGAATATGGAGCGGCCGGTCCGGTATTTCCACTGCCGCCGTGTCAAAATACCGGGCCGGCAGCTCAGCTCTACAGCGGGACCTTATAGAGATGACTGCTGACCTTTGGGGAGGGAGGGGGAGCGGGTACCTGAATTTGACAGGTACCCGCTCCCACTTCCGTGGAGTTGTTCTTTCATCTTACCCGTTCCTCTATCCAGCGGCGCGGTCTTCCTGGCTTCTGTAGTGTGGGCATGACAGCCGGGTGCCAAGTGCGCATGCGCAAGAAGCGGTGCTTTTTGTGAATGGTAAGGCGGCACCTGGGACACATGACAGATCCCAGAAGCCGCCGGACCAATCACAAAGCGCAAGTGCTTCTCGCTCATGCGCACTGGGCACCCGGCTGTCATGCCGAGCGCCATTACAGAAGCCGGGAAGACAGCGCGCGGCTGGATAGAGGAACAGGTAAGATGAAAGAACAACAAATTCAGGTACCCGCTCCCCCCCCTCCCCAAAGGTCAGCAGTCATCCCTCTACTGTCCGCAGTCTCTGGTCATCCCTGTGCTGTCCGCAGTCTCTGGTCATCCCTGTGCTGTCCGCAGTCTCTGGTCATCCTTGTGCTGTCCGCAGTCTCTGGTCATCCCTGTGCTGTCCGCAGTCTCTGGTCATCCCTGTACTGTGTCCGCAGTCTCTGGTCATCCCTGTACTGTGTCCGCAGTCTCTGGTCATCCCTGTACTGTGTCCGCAGTCTCTGGTCATCCCTGTACTGTGTCCGCAGTCTCTGGTCATCTCCTGTACTGTGTCCGCAGTCTCTGGTCATCTCCTGTACTATGTTTGCAGTCTCTGGTCATCTCCTGTACTGTGTCCGCAGTCTCTGGTCATCTCCTGTACTGTGTCCGCAGTCTCTGGTCATCTCCTGTACTATGACTACAGTCTCTGGTCATCTCCTGTACTATGTCTGCAGTCTCTGGTCATCTCCTGTACTGTGTCTGCAGTCTCTGGTCATCTCCTGTACTATGTTTGCAGTCTCTGGTCATCTCCTGTACTGTGTCCGCAGTCTCTGGTCCATCTCCTGTACTATGTCTGCAGTCTCTGGTCATCTCCTGTACTGTGTCCGCAGTCTCTGGTCCATCTCCTGTACTGTGTCCGCAGTCTCTGGTCATCTCCTGTACTGTGCCGCAGTCTCTGGTCATCTCCTGTACTATGTCCGCAGTCTCTGGTCATCTCCTGTACTGTGTCCGCAGTCTCTGGTCATCTCCTGTACTATGTCCGCAGTCTCTGGTCATCTTCTGTACTGTGTCCGCAGTCTCTGGTCATCTGCTGTACTATGTCTGCAGTCCATTAGTTCAGAATTTTTTTTTTCCTGTTTTCTGCCTCTAAAACCTAGGTGCGTCTTATGGTCAGGTGCGTCTTATGGAGCGAAAAATACGGTAAGTGTTATACCCTGAGATCACAACTACCCCGACATTCCAAAATGCCACCTGTCATAACATTATGTTCTAAACATTTGCAGGGTCAGTTGGCCATCTTATCATATCCAAGCAATATGTCCTGAAGGAGGAGACAACAATGGCCCATTGCCATTAAAGAGGTAATAAACCTCAAAATTATAAATTGAGTATATTGCCGCCTACCAATCATTAGATGTGGTGGCTGCATTTGTTTTCTTTTTTTGGCCTTTTCATACCTGTTTTCTCCTGATGATCTGGCCAATAACATACTTCCTGTATAGGAGTGCCTACACTCTAAATGAAGGAGCACGGAGATCCTTTTAGACACCAGCATTATTTAGTCTTAAATCTTAATTAATCTCAGGGGAAGGAGTGTTAGATGCACTAGCAGATTAAAATACACTAACAAACTGAAGCCAAACGTCAGCTAATAGTTTTATATACAGTTAGTGCAAACTGTTTTTCCTTTTGGAATAAAGGTTTTACATACACCATATTTTGTTTATGCTTATTTTTTTTTAAATTAATTTACAAAATTTAAAGTGAGCAAACAGAAGAAAAATATAAATCAAATCAATATTTGGTGTGACTACCCTATGGCTTCAAACCAGCATCAATTCTTACACTTGCACAATTTGTACACTTGCACAAAGTCAGAAATGTTTGTAGGATTAGAATCAGGTGTATGACTAATCAATTGTACCAAGCAGGTGCTAATGAATATCAATTTCATATGTAGGTTGAAACACGGTCATTAACTGAAACAGAAACTGCTGTGTAGGAGGCTTAAAACTGGGTGAGGAACAGCCAAACTCTGCTACTAAGGTAAGGTTGTGGAAGATAGATTCATGTTACAGGTCATACACCATGGCAAGACTGAGCACAGTAACATGGCACAAGGTAGTTATATTGCATCAGCAAGGTCTTTCTCAGGCAGTAGTGTATTTAGGTTTTGTGCTGCCCTAGGCAACACAAAAATTGTGCAAAAAATTGGAGCAAGTTAGTTCCTACAGCACTCACTCTTACAGCCGGAGAGAGAGAGTTTAGATCTTACAGCACTCGCCTTCACAGCCAGAAATCGCCAGAGCCACGATCCAGAAAGCCCAGGTGAGCTCAGCCAGTTATCTGGACATCCCTGGGACTAACAGTCGGACTCTGCCATCCTCCAGCAGCCCACAGCCTCTTCCAGATCTCATGTGGCAGAGCGAAGCTCATGCAGTGCCTCACCCCCTAAAAAAAAATGCCGCCCAAGGCAAACACGCCCCTGCTCTATGGCAAAGATTTGAAAGCAGACTGGGGTCTCAAGATGTGCTCTTCAAGTTCTTTTGAAGAAGCACAAAGAAATGAGCATTGTAGAGGACTGCAGACGCAGTGGTCAGCCAGGGAAATTTAATGTAGCAGATGAAAGACACATCATGCTTACTTCCATTACACATTTAAAGGTGTCCAAGGGTGCATCAGCACTGAACTGGTGGAAACCAGTGGGACCCAGGTACAACCATCTACTATCTGGTGATGTCTGGCCAGAAATGGTCTTCATTGAAGAATCGTGGGCAAAAAGCCACACCTGACGGGGCAACAAGGTTAAGTGACTCAATTATGCACAAGAACATAGGGAACTGGGGTGCAGAAAAATGGCAACAGGTGCTCTGGACTGAGTAAAAATTTTAATATTTGGCTGTAGCAGGAGGCAGTTTGTCCATGAAGGGCTGGAGAGTGGTACAATAATGAGCGTCTGCAGGAAACAGTAAAGAATGGTGAAGGTGCCTTGCAAGCATTTCTTAGATTGTAAGCTCCAAGGAGCAGGGCACTCCTAATCCTCTTGTATTGAACTGTATTGTCTCCCGTTATATTGTAAAGCGCTGAGCAAACTGTTGGCGCTATGTAAATCTTGTATAATAATAATAATTTCTACAAATGGAGTTGTAGATTTGGTCAGGATTAACGTTGTCCTCAATGCTGAGAAATACAGGCAGATACTTATCCATCATGTCATACAACTAGGCAGGCATGCGACTGGCCTCAAATTTATTCTGCAGCAGGACAACAACCCCAAACATACAGCCAAATTAGGATCTATCTTCTGCGTAAAGAAGATCGAGTCCTGGAAGCAATGGTTTGGCCCCCACAGAGCCCTGATCTCAACATCATGGAGTCTCTCTGGAGTTACATGAAGAGACTGTGATAGATATTTTGGGCCTACAATCATTTTTAATATTATTGTGAACTTCTGATGGGGGTCTCAATTCCTGTAACTTATTTACCATCTGTTGCATCACCTCAACACCCCCCTTAGAAGGTTTCCTGTAGATGTTTATGACAGTAGGGCCATCTGGCTGAACAAGCCCTAGAGTCGTAATTTCTAACACCTCCTAGGGAGTATTGTCATAGATTTTCCTGTGGGAACTGGTTTTCAAAGGACGTATGATTCCTGGACATTGGCCTATCCTAAATTCCATCTGATGAACTACAGTTGGCCAATATCTTTCACAAATCACAGAGCCCCCCTTTGAACAGAAATGGCAAAATACTGGAACCTATTGAAGGGTGTGACTACCTGGAATGAAGGGGGGAGGAGGAATAAAGTATGCCATTGCTCACATTTCTGCCTCTTTGTCCCTTGCTTCTTTGGAAAGACCAGTCATCAGGATGTCTGCGTAATGTATTATTCTATGTTTCCTTTCTGTATTTCTTTCCTGTATTCTTTCTTTGTATTGGTAAAATTCTGTATTTGCATTGTAATATTACTACTTTTAAGGTTATACCGACTACTATTTATTTTGTCATAATTGATTAATAGCCAGCTTCTTTGCTGTGTAAATAAATTTGATCTTTATTTTTGCACAGTTGTTATCATTTGCTATTAACATTATTGGTAATAGCCACATGAGGATTGGCGAAATTCATGTATAGACAAAAGGTTGTAATCGCTTATTACATTTATAATCTTAGATAGAATCAAGGAAATAAGCGCAGTAGAAAAAACAGCCAAAACAAATGGTGCCCCGTGTAGCTGGCCAGCTAAGACCAGTCCTAGGTTGCTAATATGGTTCACATATATGTGTATACCAAACCTGCCAATAACCTCAGTACAGTATATATGTGCACATGTTAAAGCTAAAAGCAAAATCATTGCTGTAATTTATGTCTTTGATTGTTATATGACATTTATATATTCATTGTGTTAGCAGAAGCAGAAAAGGAAAATATGCCTTTAAGATTTAGTATAAGGTGAGCCAATCACAGACAGCCTCACACTGTACAGAGCCTTAACCAATCCCAGCCAGTTTCACATTTGTGCCTGTGTAAAACTCCCTGCTAGGATTTTCTAGAGACACATGCTCACCAGACAGAAGAGGAAACAGACAAAGTTCCAATCAGAAAAGCTTTATGGAAGCAGAGAAATAGGCAAATAGCCAAATAGGTATTTAATGCACTTGTGTGTTCCTCTGTTGTTTAACAGTGCAGGTAGATCTGTGTCTAAAATCTGTTGTATGTGTTTACTTGTAGTTCCACCGAACCTATCGAATTTAACGAATCAAGTCACTGTAGAGTAATCATAATCGAGTCTAACGCATTTACGAATCCAAGCGAATTTATCAATCTATTGAAATATACAGAACGAATTTATGGAATCTATTGAACCTATTGAGATAAGCTATCAAATCAAACCATTGTAATATGAAAGAAATAAGCCATTGTAAGCAGTTATATGAAGAAGATTGAAGTTATTAAAGAAGTTAACTAAAGTATTCGGTGTGCTCTTTAAACCTACTGCATCCATAGAGCGGCATTGGAGGAATTACAGAGTAAAGTCAGTCTAAGCAAACAAAGAAACAGCAATTGCATAATTTTTCTAATGCCACAGCGCACAAGGCACCAAAGGGTGCTGCGCCTGCCACACCCCATGTGAGGACGTCTGAATGTTTAGGTAAATGTTACTTCTTATGTGGAATACAGAGCATTATTTACATCTTTCTTTCTTTTCATGTCTATCTTCCATGTCTGTCTGAAATACCTAGACTAGTAAGCTTTGTCGAATGTCATTTTTACCTTTTTGTCTTTACTAATATTTTGATGAGACTGATTATGAACAGTATAATTGAAATAAAATTGTACTGAGAGTGTATGAGAAAACATCCTAACTGCTGGGTTGCGCCTATTGCAGCAGGGTGTGAATGTGGATGAAAGGGCTCTGACTGGACTCCTTAGAGGCAGTGGAATAAAACGTAGGATCTGTGCCAGTCTGCCTAAAAGTTTTCAGTTGACCCTCAAATGACATTTGGTCAATACACTTCCCAATCTTTGCGATTGAAATGCACCTGTGGGCCTAAATCCCACAGAATGATCTTGTGTATGAATCTGTCCTCTTTGTAATCTACTAACTGTGGATTGTAAGTGTGTAGTTAGACCTGTAAACAACAGCTATATTGTAACTACCACAAACCATACTGCAAATAGTTGTGCCTCAATTAACTGCCTGCTGTACTCCAAGCATTCAAATTTTGATTATTCAAGTTTGCTCTAATCCTTCTTGGGATAATAGGAGCAATTTAGGAAAAAATCTGTCAGAATACTTCAGAAAGGTCCATGGGGGGGGGGATTGAACTATTGGCAAGTTTGGAGATCCCCGGGCTGTTTGAAGGGCTATAGTCAGAAAAGGGAAAAATTAAAAGTTTGTTCTGACAAGTAGTGAAAAGCAGCAACGGTGACAGGGGCGGTACCTGTCAACCCAATCGCTGGCCAGAGATTAGCTACCTCTGGGGGCAACCGCTTAAGGCTGGGAAATTATTCCAGGGTCCAGTATCC